CATGGAGTGAGAGTTTCCGTGAACAAAAAATAGTTTGCCTCCAAGCTCCAGTGTTGCAAATTGCAGTTTGAAAGCTTTGTGATTTGAGATGTGCCATAGTCAAGCTGGAAGCAAATGATTTGGCTGTCAAAAGAGGACAATGTTGAGAAAACACAGTGATGTAGCACTGATGCTAAATTAGCATAAATACTGTACTATTTAGAAGAATAAACCATGCTAACTGTAAATAACATGGCATGGATATAAGCTGCTTCTTTTCTCTTACCTCTTCACTTGTTGAAGAGTTCTAGAGAAGTTGAAAGGTTGCATAGTAATTTATGAAGCTTTTGGTAATAATTGCAGCAGCCACTTTTATCTTGCTCTGAAATGAAAGTAACTTGCCATTTTTGCCATGGTGCCTTTCTCAGAAACAAGTCTCATGGAGTTTGTTGGGGTTTATTCCCAAATAGATGTGATAGCATTGTAGCCTTTGAGACTGATGCAGAAATTGCATATTTAGTTCTAGTTTGTCACAGTGTATTTCTTTAAATGGATGCTAGAAATTTCACAACAGCTCACAATTACGTGGAGGAAAATGCAAACCAGACAGCTAAATTCTGTCATGTAGAAGGATATTAAGCAATATGTGAAATAATTAATTCAAGCTATTGATTTTGCTAAATGGCAAACATATCACAATCATAGCCATATTAAGGCTGAAATTTCAGGCACACTTGCCTGGGAACAAGCCCTTTTAAACCCAGTGGAAATTCAGGTATAGGACTGTGCTATTAACTTCCATACCAGGCATTTTTATGTGTGAATATTTCAGAAAGCTAAGACAAAAATACAATGTTTTGGAATACAAGAATCATACACATCCATTGCAACATGTATGTAAAATGTACAGACTGCCAGAAAAGGATAAAAATGTAATTTGAATTTCAAAATTCAAACTTTAAAAAGAATATGAAGCTGATAAATAAAAAACCTAGAGTCCTGTTAACATTTTATATAATCTCTACTACATTATATCTTTGATGAAGCTATAAATATAATTGTTTCTCTAACTGCTTTCCAGATATGTAGACATCTGTTAGTAATAATTCTTTCCTAGAACAATCTTGGTTTATGTTTATGTTATCATAATTACACTGAGATTTTCCAGATATCCCAGAGCTTGTTTTTAATCAAAGTACGAAGTACATTTGATCTGTTTTTCAATATCTTTGCTTTTGTCAGCCAAGTTGGCAGATATATTTTGTGGCTGCTAAATTACTGCCAGACAGAACTATTCATTATATAGCTGGGGGAGGGAGGGGGGTGGATTTCAAAAATACACATGTATTTTTCTTTAAAGTCGATTTTCAAGGCTGAATTAGAGAAATGTTGTCCAAGAATTTAAATGTAAAAATCTAGCTAATCAGGATGAATCCCCTTATTACATCTATTGATACTACAATATGAGAATAGATAAAGAGTTGATTCAAAAACTTGTTGATAGTCCATGACAGGAAAAAAAAACACCTAACAATCACAGAGTCCCTATCTAGTTAAAGTAAACTTTAAACTATCTTGGATTGTGTTTTTTCTCGAGACAATCTTGAGAAAATTTGATTCTTTCTTCCCATCAGGGGATATGAAATGTCCATCCAAACCAAGCAAAATGCCTACTGGACTATTTCCAGCTCCCAGAGGTGGGAAAGAATCAGCATCCCTTAGATCACCCAAGAAGTATTTGCTATTAAGCCGGTAACTGAGACAAAAGTGCACAAGAAAAATACACAAATCAGGCAAAAACGGTTTTATACAAAGGAAAGGACCTCAGGGTCAGTGATGACAGCAGCTCCACTTTATTTTTTTATGGATGGGATAACTTGGTTAAGATGAGATTTTAGATTTGTTGACATGTGGTTTCTTCCTAGAATGACAGTTCACATGAATAGTGAAAAACATGAATGGTATTTGCATATTTGAACAAACACTTTCACAGAGAGAAGAGAGACATGAAATATCTTTTGACAGTGGGGATATCACAATGGTTAGCATACACATTCTTCACACAATCCACATTTCAAATTTTAACTGTGATTTAATCTTTACCCCATTTTTGAGGGGATAGGAACCATCCACCACTCACTGATAGATTCCTTGAGATCTAGGAGTACACTTTCCTATTAAGTAGTCATTAAGATGAGACCAGATGTATTCCATCTGGATCATAGCAGGTGCAGTATTGTGTCTTTTCTCTTGCTAGAGTTCTACCCCCCTTTTTCTCTCAATAGGGAAAGTACGATGCAGTTGACTGTGGCAAGAGTTGCCACTGGCAATATTCCTATAGGAATGCCAGCAGTGGCAGCTCTATTCAGCAATATTTACATTGGGAAATGAGTGTGGTGGTCCAGGCAGAGCAAAATCTGATGGCCTTAGCTGGAGATCATGTGTTGGGATGACTGAAGGCAGAACTGTCCTGTCTCCTTCTCTGTGGCGTGTACCAGGTATGAATATCAACTTGAGTTTTTTTGTGTAAGGAAGCAGAGAAACTTCATTCCTGTCTCTTGGTGCATAAGAATACAGTTGATATTAAGCAGAGTTTCTCTCCAAAGCCTCCCACTGTGAAACTCTCCAGTCTACTGACAGTAAGACTGAATATAATTCTCAGACTGGATTAATTTTCCCAGACATGGAAGGTGTTAACAATTTGGCTGCCATGGAATGGACTTGCCATTCACCGACTGGCTGCCCAAAGACAAACTTTTGAGAATGTTTCCTACCGTAGGCATCTGCAGGATCTTAAGATGCTTAAGTCAAAACAATGAGAGCTGTGTTGCTCCATTGAGCTGCAAGTTCTGCCTCTTGTGCATGTGTGCAAAGCCACAACATATGTACAAAATGAATGGAGTTTGGGTTGCAATAGTGTGATACAGTCATCATTTGCTATCCTGACCTTATCCCTCCCATCAGATTCTTCTGCCACCTCCATTAATTCCGCTGGACCATGGTAAGCTTCTTCATCAATTTAGCTGTGTATAACAAAGGGAGCGCATTTTTATTTTGTTTGTTCCGTTGTGGGGAGATGGGCGGGGACAAGTCAAATAAATAATAAAATAATAATAATAATTTTCTAAATCCTATAGGACATATGGAGGCAGTACTGAAAATAAAGATGATGGTGCTGCAAGTGGCATATTACTCTTCAGATGGCAGCTTCTCATGCTGAAAATGGGGCAGGGACCTGTTCTTAGGTCTATTGATTCTCAAAGGAAACTCAGTGGGAATGCCATTTAAGATTGGGAATAAAATAAACAAGGAGGATTAATGGATGCACTGAAGATGCTCATTTTCACCCATTCAGTCAGTCAGCCCTCATTCTGCTCCATGATACTGAATTCTGCTGTACCCATTTCCTTTCCCATCTGGTTTTCCTGGTTTCCCCAACCATTTCCTCACCACTACACATGTGCAAGTCCTCAGAAGCCCTTAATGTCCCCTTCATTAAATTAAAACCTGCTGTTTTAAAATTTGTTGGGGGTTATCCCCTAGCCTGCAGATCTTCTGGTTTTGGGATATGAGCAACATAGTTTGGGCTGTGTAACCAATAGCACTCATGACTTACATATCAGAAATAGAGGAAAAGGTACATAAATTCAAAGATAAATGAGGTTTTTTTGCTTGGAGTAGTAACACTTGGAAGAAGCGAAAACAGAAGCTGGAAGGACTGTTGGCATTTGGGGAATGTTTAAAAAAAAGTGCTTGGAAATTTATTAATGAAACTAGTACTATCACCTGTACACATGACAAATTTAGAATGCCATTTAAGGCGTGCAATTTCTCCTGCCAAGATGATAGTTCTGTTCCCAGATGTTTCTTCTTCAGGAAAATTAGTTTCGCATTAATATTTGACACATTATGAAGGAGGCATGAAAACAGTGGTGTGTTTTAAATTAAAGGGAGAGATTTTTGTGGATTTGCAGGAATGTTGTAAGTCAAGAGAGAATAGGTACAATTATAAATGCTTTGACCATTGCTCTTCCAAATCATGCTATGAAAGCAATTTTGACTGAAGAAAAGCCAACGCGACATAGTGTTTTTTATGATACTTGGAACAGAGACTCCCCCCTTCCCAACCTCTAAGCTTGAGAAATATTTTCAGTTGTTCAGTTCTTGCAATGAAGCTTTCAGCAGGCAGAGGGATGCTTATTTTAAAGATTTACTGTATTCATCTTGCTTTATAAAAGCGAATTGAACACCCTTGAATGATATGTAAGTATTATATTCCTTTGCAATCAAAATGGAAAAAATAATACTTGAGCATATGCCACATATCTAACACTGCTGGAAATAAGGAACAGTATATATTTCACCTTTTTCCTACTCCAATCCATATGAAGCTTATGATAGTGGGAAAGAAGTAAGAGAAAAATAAGCCAAAAAGTATATACTAAAATCTTGAAGGAGTATAGAGGCTGTATATAGAGGCTACATTTGAATGTTAGCCATGCTATATACCCTTATGTTCTTATGTTTGCTCCTTGCTGTAATCCAACCTATGGAGATCTATAATTGTATAAATAGGCCTATTTTATAAGGGCATATAGCATGGCTATGTATGTAAGCATCAGCTTGGTTGCTATTACTTTGGGATTTTGACAGAAATGGGAGGGAGGAAAATTATAAATTTTCTTTGAGCCAACAAGTTTTTCTAATGTATACATTTACTTTCCATGCTTTTCCCCTGTTTTTCTCTTGCCTACAACAGCAGACTCTCAAATACATTAAACTCTGGTTCATAATAGTAGAGAATTTCCCCCTCCTCAGTAAAATGCAAAGAGGTTTTATTGAGATTTATATTCTGTGCTGCAGGAGAGATTCCAGAGGAGGCTGGAAATCACTTTGGTTGATTTGCAGAATTTTACAGGAGGAGGAGGAGCCCAAATGGCATTTTACTCCACTCGTAGTCTCTTTGCTATTTCCCATCACTTCTTTTTCTTTCCATAGGAAATCCATTCAATGGAGATAAAAGAACCCAAATAGCATCCCAATGTCTTTAAACTGGTCGCTGGAATTTTCTCACCCAGAAAATCTTTGAATTCAAGATACATTGAACCCTGAGCAGCTGGCAGTGCAGTGACTTCCCCTAAGTCCACAGCTGCCAGTATAGCGAACCCTCTTGGAAAACTGCTTCTGTGCACCATGAAGAATTTCTCTGAGCTTGGAGTTCCTTCCCTTCACAGTTTTCTCAATTCAGCCAATGCATCAACTCTTCCTGAAAGACAAGCAAGAGATGAACAGTTAGCAAAGGTAGAGATTGCTGTGCTTGGAATAATATTTGTAGCAGCATCTGTGAGCAACTTTATCCTTATTCTGGTATTATGGAGGAGAAGAATGAATCTGTCTAGGATATATGTGTTCCTACTTCATCTGAGCATTGCAGACCTGATGGTTGCCTTTTTTCAAGTCCTTCCTCAGCTTTTCTGGAAAATTACAGATGTTTTCATGGGTCCAGACATCCTGTGCAGAACTGTCAGTTATTTCCAACTATTGAGCATGTTTGCCTCCACTTACATGACAGTAGTTATGGCAATGGACAGATTCCAAGTGGTGTGCTACCCCACAGCCTCTTTCAAGAAGAAAGCCACTCTTTGGAATGCTTCAGTCTGCACCAGTTGGTTTATCTCTTTTGCCTTCAGCGTCCCCCAAATATTTATCTTTCAGAAAAGTGAGACATCTCCAGGCATATTTGACTGCCAAGCTCACTTCATTGAACCCTGGGGCACAAAAGTGTATGTAACTTGGATTTCTATAGCTATCTTTTTTCTTCCTGCAGCTATCCTGATCACCTGCCATGTGAGGATCTGCAGAGTGATCCACAGAAATGTGTATATGAAAGGTTACCCTGATTGGGAAGTAACAAATCAGAAGCAAATACTATCATCTCAGGCAAGTAATACAAACTGGATATCAAAGACTGTGATAAAGACTATTAAGATGACTGTAGTGATAGTTGTTGCTTATGTATTCTGCTGGTCACCTTTCTTCATTGCCCAGTTGTGGACTGCATGGCACCCCGGTGATGCTAGGACTGAAGGTAAGAGTCAACCTTTCCCCATGATAGTGGCTACACTATCTCAGGGTGTTAATATTACAACAGAAACCATGAATGTCATTGAACTTGAGTAAGTGCTATGAAGAATGGCATAAAATATATTGCTTTGATTATTTGTAGTACTTGTTGATGGGTTTGTAGTACTAGTTGATATGATGCTTCTCTATGGTGAGCATAAAATTATGTGGGGTAAAGAGCTTCTTCCTTAATGAAAAGTATTAAATGGTATTTGCTGTTAATGAAATGAAATCAGTATTCACAGAGTAGAGAGATGATTGACAATAAAAGCAAGCATAAATATGCTTTCATGGCCGACATACGATGGCTGGTGTAGGTCTTCCGGGCTGTGTGGCTGTGTTCTGGAAGTTTTGTTTCCTAACATCATCTGGGCACAGAGAGAACTGCTCCTGTCTGTGCTCCTGCACTCTGAAGATGCTGGTCACAGGTGCTGGCGAAACGTTAGGAAACAAAACTTCCAGAACACACAGCCCGGAAGACCCACACCAGCCAAGCATAAATATATTAATAAATTTGTCAAGAGTTACCATACCTCATCTAGCATTTGTTTCATTTTGGGGGGGGGGAGGTATTTTTTATTGCCCCTTCATGGATCACTGCCTTGTCGTGGCAAAGGGGCTTGCATAACTCAGTGAATCCCTGAGCTATACCGTGCAG